ACCCCAGTTCTTTCACAGGAAGTCTCTACGCTGCAAATGGAGGTGGGAGTGAGTTTGGAGAAGGTGGTGCTTGATGCTCTGGGCTGGTGCCCGGAGCAGCCTCATGGACACGCTGGATTTGGGACAGACCTGCCAGGCTGCTGGCATCCCATAACCACTTCTGTCCTCTCTGGGCTCTCCTGGTGCTATTTGTGATCATTCTCATCGTCTTCTCAACATCTTTGATATTTGGCAGCTTTGCTAAATCTGCAGTTTGTTACCTCTGTTGTTTCAAATGTCAGCAGCTGAATCGCATCCTCCCGTCAAGTCCATAATTTATCCTGCACAGATGGAACACTTCTGCTTTTCCATGGCAGTTGATTCCTCTGTCCTTAAATTTGTGTTTAGGAGTAAAGTTTTTGAAAAATTTACTTGCTGCTTCAGCCTTTCCAATTTGGAATTTTATTCTGAACTAGCATATAAAATCATTTTCCAGAGAACCATTGAAGAGATTCGTCTGTAGCTTTAGTAACTGTGTTATTGAAGTACAACGCTCACTGAGGTCACTTCACCCTGGGCAGTTCTTTTAGCATACTGAACCATGTTCCTCTGGCCCTGGTCCTTCTGCACCGACCTGGCAAATCACTCCTGTTCACCAGCAGTTCTTACTTGTGATCCAGGATTCCCCCCTTACTGCTGATACCTGTTTTTCCTGTCTGTGTATTCCCAGTGAACTGTCAGCTGTGGGTTTTCAGCTGTGGATGTTTTCAAGTGGCACCATTTGCATTACTCTTCTGATAGTCCTTTACTACCCTCTTTTGATTTTGCCTCATTTTTCTTTAACTGCAGGTTTCAAACAACCATTTTTCTCTGGCAAGTGAGTTTAGAATTAAAGCTTCTCAGAGTCTCTCTTTCTATAACAATACTTATAAATGCAAGTGCATAACTCTTACACTGATCTTGATCCTAAATTTCAGTATCTTTTTTTTCTTTTTCAAGCAAATGCTGTGCCCTTGTAGAAGTGAGACTACAGCAAGCTCTTATGTGTCTAATGACAAGCCAGAACTGGAGCAATACTTGCAGTGTATTTTGCTCTGTCCTTGCCTGTTTCCGATTGCTCAGCACCAATTGTTTCCAGTTGCAGCTGTTTTACACAGCTGCCAAAACCACTAATGCCCAACCTGTCTCTAGTAAAAGAGAGTTTAAAGAAATGATCTTACTTTTCTTCAGTGTTTTGAAAGATGGCAATGCTTTGGCTTGTGATGTAGTTTGCCTGGTGCATTTGATTTTATGCCGCGGTACAGTGGGTAAAGGGTTGGTGGTGAGCAGTGCAGTGCTATGTATGCAGCTCAGGCAAGAGAATTTCAGATATCTGGGGGAAAAAAAATCTGGAACCACTGAACACTTGCTGAATTTTATGCTATTTAAATGCATACTCTGTATCTTAATACTTGAGAAATATTAAGTGCTACTTGAAGTTCCCTATTACAACTCTAGTTGTTTTCCATCGGTATTTTTAAACTGCTGTCAGACTAAGGGAAAATGCCTTAAGTATTTGAGGGAGAGAAATAATCCAGGAAGGCATCCCAGAGCCTCTTTCCCATGCCCTCAGGCCTTTGCAGGGGGCACCCCAGTGCTGTTTGCCTTAAGGAGGGTTTTCAGCAAATAGTCCTGGTTTTGTTAAATTTGTCAGTGTCCACTCAGGTTTTATATTCAGTGCACTGTATGTTCTGACCTGTCTGAAAACTCTGCTTATTCTGCTGACTGACCCTATGGTTCTGGCCCTTTCACTGAGCTGATGTTTGATTTCTGATGTTCTTTCTCACCTTCACCACTTGTTGCTTTTTTTGCCTCCTGGCTATTTCAACCAGTTCAATTCACTTTTTGATGTAGTTTTTTCCTTTAGATTTACATAGTATATGAGTGTCTTTCTCATTGCAAGGTCAAATGGTACTTCACTGAGAAATCAAAATGTGTAGATTGGCTCTTGTCACAAGCTTAATTTAACCATCATTTATATTCCTGGAAGTATTCCATTTTTGATCCATTTCATTTATCTTAATACCTGCTTTTAAGCAAAACTTTGACAAATGATAGCAATATGGGGAAGATATTTTAGCAAAGTCTTTTAAAAATCGTTTTCCTAATATGTGAATTCTAGTCCAGACCAGATTTAAAATAATAGCATTACAAAATGTCAAACCTGGTAAAACCATTAAAAAAAGAACAGGAACTTTGACTAATGGCGCGTGTATATGACTTAACATTTAAGTAAAGATTGCATTTCTGACTGAAGCGATGAGAAGAATTCAGCTAAAACATTTCTCTCCAGCTTCCTGTTGAAGTGAGTTTCCTTTTGTCTGGCTGTAGCTGTGGGAAGAGCTCAGTGCCACACATCTCTGGAATTTTCCAGCTTTGTCTGGGATGCTGTTCCCGCTCTGCCTGCGGCCGCGAGCTCTCTCTGCCGCGGCACACTGGCTCTGGGCGCCAGCGATGCTTTGTGTTCAAGCTGAGTTGGCTTCCTGGGCTAAATCCTTGTGTTTTGGGAGGGGTGGTGTTTGACGAGCCAGGGGAACGGCAGGATCATTCTGACAGAGCCGTGGTGGTCCTTGCTCCTAACTGAGAGTGCAGAATTGAGGAGCGAGAGATGGATCCTCTGCCTTAGCCCAGGAAAGAATGAGGAGGTGCAGCCTTATGGCGTTTGGGTCCCCCCAAGTTACAGAGGCTGCATTAACCAACCCCCTGCCCTTTGGCAAGTGCTGTGCCCAGGAAGGAGGGGTGGCATTCCCGTTGGGTTTATCCCCTTGGGTTTATCCCCTTGGGTTTATCCCGTTGGGTTTATCCCGTTGGGTTTATCCCGTTGGGTTTATCCTGTGGCTCTCGTGGCAGCCGTGCAGAATTGTGCAGTCCCACTGAGGCTGGGCACTGCGTTTGCCTTTGGCCCTGGCATGGAGCTGTTCAGCAGCCTCACAGCAGCCTCTGCTCTCCAGAACTTCATTCTGTAGGAACAGATTTCATGGGGAGAATGCCATGCACACGTTCAATCTGCCGCTTTCTCCTCTAACCCCAATTCAGTAAGATTTTCTGATAACCTCTGTCATGCATCCGGGAGTGTTTGTTCCTGTGGGGGGGAATATTTGAGGCTGGCAGCCAGTTTTAATGTTAGAATTGTTTGGATGCAGGCCTGGACTTGGAGCAGGAAATCCACTGCCATTTCACAGCTTTATTTGTTGAATGGAAACCAGGGAATCGACATCATGTATTCAAGAGCAAGAAAAATGGCATTAACAGCAGGGTGTAATTTTTTTTTATATGGTCCCAAGCCTTCCTTTGTTTGCAATTTTAGCTTAATATATTCATGATACCTTGAAACAGGGGTATGCATTGAGATGGGGGTTTGAAATTGCTTTTGTGGTTGTTTCTGGCTTATATAAAGGTATATATTCTGTAAAGATCAAAAGTGACTGGAAAAGAGGATTTGGAAGAGATTATTCATCAAAATGGTATTTTTTTTGCAATGCATTGGGCGGGTGGGGAGGGAAGAGAAATTTTAAGCTTGTTCTCTCAGTCTTTGGTTTTATTCAGCTTTCTTGCTTTCACAAGATGTCTTATTTTTGCCAAAATTTCTAATAAGCCAATGGAGCGATGTATATGCTAACAAAAGTATTGTTAAGTGTTTGAATAAAAATCTCTCCTGCTCATCGATCACAGAAGCACAAACTCTGTGGTTATTCCATGAATTCTCCTGAGAGTTTCCAGGACACTTTTTCAAGAGCAGATCTACTTTTTTTATGCTATTCATTAAAATATATGGATTTCTTTAAATATTTTCAGGTCTGCATTTTTAATTTTTTATTTGCATATAAAATTTATGAAGTTAGATTATGATAATGCTGTTTCCAGTGTTTCTGAAAATACTTTTAAAGTCTGCCTTGCATAATCTGTCAACTCAAATTATTATATTTTCCTGTTTTTTCCTAGAGCCTGTGCAATTAAAACCACTTAAATTGTTTTATGTGTTTTATGATAAAGTTCAAGGGAGAAAATAAGCCAATTTGTTCATGGAAATTTTGAAATCCTGCATAATACTTTTATTTAAACCCAAAACTGTTCTATGAGGATTGAAAGTGTGGAAAGAAAATGGCAAATCTCAATGTAGAAGCTGTAGAAGTCCTGTCAGAGTGCTTGAGAAACTTTAAGTGGCCTTGTTTACTTAAAGAAGGAATTAGGAGTTTGCTTAGGGAAGACGTGGGCTGGAGGTTGTATAAAACAGAATCAGGAAGGTCAGGGGAGATGACAGCAGGGCTTGGATGTGATTGATAGTTAAAGGCAGTTCATGTGCTTATGTGGAGAAAGTTATTTCCAGCATTGCTGGAACTCTGGGGAGATTTGAAATAGTTCAATTCATGTCACAGATTCTTTAAATTTACACATGTACAAACATTCTTTGGTGGCAGTTGAATATTGTCTGTAGTTATTTGTTACCTTTTAAATAGCAGTAACATAAGAAAGAAAGAAAGAAAATCTTTGTATTAATCTAAATGGGAAAGTAGGAGTTGTGCTGCTTGAGTATTTTGTGTTCATACTTGAAGTGAATTTTCTTTATTAAAAATGTCTTATGAGAAGATTTGGAGAAATGTGGAAGAGAATTCTCTGTTCATCCCCAAAAGTGAAGGTTGTGCCATTCTTCTGCAACGAGGTGAATGCTTCTGCAGAAACAATTTGGAGAAGAACAATATCCAAACCAATTAAAGGTCCAGGATTTGTGCCATTTTTCAGCAGTGCTGATGTGCCCTGCCCTGTGCTGCAGCAGGAGCTGTCCCATCAGGATGGACACCTCGGTGACAGCACAGACATCTCTACACAGAAGGGAACAAAGGTCTTTTAGGAGGGTTACAGAGAAAGATAGAAACTTAAGCAGCACCACGCACAGGCTAATGAAGGGGATTGCAAAGCATGTTATATTCAAAAACTTGTAATACTTGTATTATATTTAAAGAAAATAATTCAAACTCTGCTACTTCACCAACATTCCTCCTTCCCTTAGCACTCCCCTTGCTTATGTTTTGCCAAGAGCTGCTGTAAGGAAATATTTCTCTGTATTTCTCTTGTTCCTGTCAGCAATAATGCAGAGCCTGAAATGCTTCTGCAGTGGCAACTTACAGTACTTCAGTAAATTGTGGCTTTTGTCAGATAAATTGAGTTGGTAAAATTTTTCTTGACCCCCAAAACCCTCTTTTATCTTCCCATTAATATATATATATTCTAGCTGCCATTCTTCCCCTTCAGTCTGTAAAGAACAGCATATGATGTGGTTTCTGTGTTGATTTTCAAGATAATTTTTAGCCTGTCAAAGACCTTCTGTCTCAACAAATTTGAAACAAAGATTTTTTTTTTCAATAGATGAAAAAGTGCAGCTGCCAGATGAACCGACACAAGAAACTGGAAGGGGAAGATCTTGCAGATGGTTCTAATAAAACTGGGCAAACAGCAAACGGGGATGGGGGGAGAATGGGTTGAAATGCGAATTGCAATCCCAGTGCAAGTTTTGGGGTTAGTTTGTGAAAGAAAGCTGCCTAAACAGACATTTGAGGGTTTGGGATTGGGGGTTGTTTATTGTTGCTCTCAGTTTTTTGTTTTGCCAAAGACTGCCAGCTTTTCCTTCTCCCTGCGTCCATGCTGCTACCTGAGCTTGTGTGGCTGTGCCAAGAGCCCTCTGGAAAGCCACATTCAGCTGTTCATAGGGTTTTGTGAATGTGAAATACCAATAAAAGTCTAGGTTTTCAGTAGCTGTTGAGAGAAGAAATTGTTGGAGCACAGAGCAGTAAAAATGGAGCAGAGGCTTGTGTTGTTTCATTGTTGCTGCCTGCTATCCCATAGCCAAAAATTGCATTTTGGCCAAGCCTTGATAAGCCCCGTGTTTGAAGTTTGTACTGTATGATTCATTCATAAGGATGGAGGGTGACTAATAGTAATTTCTGTTTTTTCTAATTTTCTCCTCTTATGAAATAGTATTGGGTTTGTAATATTAGGCCTACAATTAATGAATAAAAATAGCAGAAGGAGAGATGCAGCCCAGGGCCTGGATAGCCTCTGATGGTCTCAAATTCCATCACTACTTCTTCACATGATAGTTTGGGGTTCTTTGGTGATTCTTCAGGCCAGAAAATCTTATTGAAACCTCATTTCCAAAGCCAAAACAGTTAAGTCTTTATTTTTTTAATTCCTCTTGCTAATCTTTCCCTTCTTCAATGAAAGGAAGAGTGTTTGAGAGCACACAGGCTTTCAGCTCACACAGCAGCCCTTGGGGATGTGTCTTCATCTTGCTGTGTCAAAAGCTTTTCAAATCAGTAGCTCGAGAGTAGCAAATCCTTCAAATGCATGAGTAACAGATACTTGTTTTATTTAAGAGTCCTTAAGCATGAGCAAGTCATTAAGTGCTTCCTTTCTCCCCATGAATCAGTTCTATTTTAAACAGTCATCGTGTATTTAATATTTTTTAAAGTATCAGAAGTTTTGACTTTTAAACTTTTTTGGAGTTTGTTGTGTACCTCTGTGAATTTGTATTAACATATCTGTCAAGGGCTGCACATTCCCTGTACTGATGCTTTCCCTGTATCCTTCAAGAGTGGATCTATTCTGTGTGCAGCATTTCTTTGCCCAAGGAGACAATTTGGAAGTGAAGGAGTTATTACTCTGAAAGAAGAGCACGTCTCTTCCTTGGCTGGGTAATGACTCCTCAAAATGCCACCACCTGAGTGGCCTCTCAGGAGCTCAGCCACCAGCAATGTCCCTCTGGGGCCATTCCTGGAATTCCTGGTGTTTTCTGGGCCAGGTGCTCCCTGCAGCCTCCTGGGCAAAGCTGGCCTGCATACCCTGTGTGGGAGCACTGTGGAATCCCACTCAAGGGGATTCCAATCCCCTTGAATGCTTTGGTCATGGATATTGACCCTGTGATGTTGTCATGCTTTACTGATTCAGTGGAAAGAATCTATTTTCCCTCTCTTTACTGTATCATGCAAAAAGGATAACAAATGTAAATATTTATAATTAGGTATTTTTGCAGGGGTTTGTGTCCAAGATACAACATGCTGAGACATTAAACAGCGCAAGTGTTGCCAGAATGCTATCAGCTTGGCAAACCTGACAGGCAGCTGAAGGCAAGGACGAGTTTCTATGATAAAATCAGGCCATGTACTGAACACTAAAGCATCACCAGTTGTTCACGGCTCGGGAAGAGTTCACTTGCAATCAACATGAATAGGAAAAACCTTTCCCAAATGATGCTTTGTCTCCTTGTGGATTTGCTTCCGGTTTTGCCTCCTTATACAGTCGGCAATCATAATTCAGATGGAGGGGTTTGAAATGGCCTTCCTGTTCCTCATCTTGTGAGGAGGTGTCCCTTTAGCCCTGGCTGTCACTCAGCCTGACAGGCCAGGGAGCTGCTCCAGCCCTGGCACTGAGAGCTGGGATGTTTGTGATTCATTTCTTGAGCATTCCTGCCCTTTGTGCTGCGAGGACAGGCGAGGGGAGCGAGGCACATGGCAGCTCTTTCCATGCAGAGGAGCTTCTGCTGCCTGAGCCTCCACAGAAAGCCAAGGGAAAATGGAGGGACTCATGTGCAGCTCCATGTACTCCATCCGTGTGAATTGCCTCTTTGGAGCAGCGGCTAAAAAGGATTGCACATCATCTTTGTCAATTAACTTCAAATGTTTTAAATTAATCTATAGTACCGGGCACTGGAACTGAAGTGATGTGGAGTGGCATGAGTCTTTTCTTTTGGAGTGGTAGATTGTGTTTTTTAAGCCCCTGTGCTGCTTGTGAGTACAATGACAAATGTATCTGTGATCTCTGTGCCACGTGTTGCCTTAGCTACCATTTAATGTGCAATATGCTGATGTTGGAGATAAAATGTTTTCTGTGGCACCTATAAAACACCTCAGTAATCCTCACAAGCCACAGGAACACCAGATTTATATCCAGCTGTGGCAGTGAATCTCTGCCATCTCCAGCTGTGCCAGAGGTGTTGGAGTGCAGCTCCACAAGCAAAAAAAGAAATGCAAGGAGAGCCCTTTGTACTGCTGGGCAAAACCTGCAGAATTTTAGGACAGAAGTGCAAATACCTGCATGCAGGTAAAATTTAAAAATGTGTGTAACTTGATATTTTATTATATAGATACAGCTCTGGCAATGTTTCCTGGTTTGGTGTTCCCTATAGACATTTGCCCAGAGGTGTCCACAATTTGAGAACAGGTCCTGCAGGCTGGTGGACACTAAAGGAGGAGAAATCCCTCCTCCCCTGGCCAGCTGCTTGAACTGCAGCATCCTGCCTGAATCCACAGAGTTCCCTGTCTCTTGTTCTTCTAGCCAGAAAAAAAAGACATTTTGGAATGGGTTAACATTTTACACAAACACATCTCCTTATGCAGACACTTTAAATAATCTCTCAGTGCAACCATTCCATGCCATGAAGTGTTGGCTGATTTCTCTTTCCTTCAGGGCTATTTTTTTTATTTCAAAGAACTTGAAAATATGCAAAGAAGAATTTTGCTGCTGTGTGAGGTTCTCAAAACTACGAAGGATTGTGGTGTCCCCTCAACATTCCTGGAGGCTTTGCAGGCCTCAGTTCTCATTCATTTTCTTCTCTTGCATCCTATTTCTGGCCAATCCCATCTGCAAAATCAAATTGTTTGGTAACACTCTGGTTAGGAGAAGATTCAATCTTCTCCATCTAGAGTAAGCTTTTGACTCATCTCTCATATCTCCATTTAGACAATGAGCCACAAGTTGAAGTCTAATTTAGTGGCTATTCCCTTACCTGCCTTCAATGAGAGGGTATTCACCCTTCTCATTAAGTCCATTTTCAAACACATAATGTGTGTTTTCTCTTAGGATGGTTCTTATTAATTTTACTCGTTGCTATTCATCTGCAGAGCTATTTCAGAATCTTCCCTTCAGATGTCCTAAAAGGTCCTTTTGTGGTGATAATCGTTGTCAGGGTGTTCTGGTTGTGCTGCTCAGCCTGTGCCCTTGGTAGGCTTTGCACAGAAGTTTAAGTACTTTGCTCCTTGTTATTTGTGGCTGCTGCTATACAAATGATTTGTGTTTGCCTTCTTTCTGCCAACTTTGTCACTCACAAATGTGTTCACACTTGAAGTCACAAGAAGCAGAATACCAGAGGAGGGAAAAAAAAACAGCCCCACAAACGAAACCCCAAAAGAACTGGACAGTGCTGTCTCCTTGAAAAACTCCAAAGAGCTCTGCTCCTTTTCCCAGGAAAGGTCCTTAATTCTTCCAGTAGGTTCTACAGGCTGTTCCTCAGCCTGTTCCTCCAACCTGTCTTCATCTTAACTGCAAAGATGCAGCGTGACTCTTGGGCAGGCAAAATTAAAGCAGCATTGTGTTCCTGGGGAATGGAAAAGAAATGGGAAATGTTAAGGATGAGGACAAGTCTGGGGTGCCAGCTATGTGGCCAGGATTCTGAAGAGAATTCAAGTGTCTTTTTACACAGCTCCTGTGGTATTTAAGATAGCAGGAGGTCACTCAAGGAAAATTTCCAATAAATCAGATTTCAAATTTATTTGAAATAATCTTCTTGTCTGTCTTTCACAGAAAATGTTGCTGCCCTGACCAGCCATCATGAAGAGAAGGGGGTGAAGTGAACTTGTCTGGAAAAGTTGGAAGTTTTGAAATTTTCAGCAGAATTTATTACCAGTGGCTGCAAGAGGTTTTGCCAAGCCAACCATTGACATGAGAATGGATTCAGTGCCTCAGACTTAAGTGGTAACTCATTTTTCTGTCATCTTATTTCCAATACAGTACCATAGGATAATTTGAATTATAGGTAATATTGTTTTACTATTACCAGAGTTTAAATAGAGAAATCTTACAAGAGCCAAACATGTGATTTTGTGAGCTTCATTCATTAGCAAAGAGTTGGAATTTTAGTATCTGGTGCTTTATTCAGTAGCTGAAATTTCTTCCTGTGGGTTCATCCCATCTCTTTATCATTGAAAAACAAAAAGATTTTGCTGTTTCTGCATTACTGACTGTCTCCCTACCCAATGCCCAGCAAACTGCAGTTTGGAACAGGTTGTAGAAGCAGCTCTGTCCCTGTTTTTTGTTATATTTTAAGTACTTTATATGACTTATGAAAAGATATGTGGAAAGATACACTTACACAGCACACTAGGAAATTTGTTCTTTTCTGCTGACATTGAATATTTCCTCAAAAATATTTTTCCATTTTCTTATTTTCTTTGCTCTTCGTATTTGCTTATCTTTTTCTCTGCCATTCACAGCTGGGTATTAAACATCTGAAATACTTCTATGCCTGTCTCCCTAATGTCAGTTTACTAGTCAGGAATACAAAACTGTGCTACTTTAAAAAATTAAATTGGGAGCAGGAAGACCCCCAGCTCTGTCTTGCTATCCCATTTTGGGCTCTGTGCCTTTGTAACAATGTAGAACTGGCCACTAAAACCAGAAGCTTTTCTTTTTTTAAGAAGGGTAGAGGGGAATTACCATATCCTTAATACCACCAAGATGGTGTTTCCATGTCTTTTGAGGCAAAAGAGTGAAAGGAGATGTTTGTGCTCTCCTCAAAGCTGTGCTAAACCCCAGCACAATAGAATCTGCCTGAGTTTGAAAACTGTAATGTAACTGCATATATCAAAAATGATGTCTCACCACATTTCTTTCATTTGTCATGAATAAAACAAAGGAAATCTATTATGTGCTGTGGTTTTGTTTGAAATGCTTCTTTCTTATTCTACCCTATTTTTCAGAGGGAGAGTGAACAGATCTGACAGTAGTTCTAAGTGACTGATGGTAGAAAAATTAGATCTGCATTTCTGAACCTCACAAATATACCTGTTTTTGTTTACTAGTCCAGGTGAGGTATTCATTCCACCCCTGTATCATAGGCTGTGTTAGAACTTCAATGGGAGAACAGTCACTGCCCCAGAAGAATTCTGTCCTAATTCCCATGAGGTTAAGGGTGGGATTTCAGAAGATGGCCAGCATTAATGTAGCAGTTCTGTCTGAAATCCACATGGAGGTTTCTGTGTCTCTTGTGAGAGCAGTCAGACCAGCACTTAGGAGCCTCCCAAGCAAGAACTTAGAGCTCAGCCAGTGCATCAGGTGCTCAGGAAGCTGCCAGGTTATTCCCTCACTGAGTTCCCATCTTTAGGAGTTCTCTGGTTTGTTGCCAGAGCTGTTTCTATACTGTGTCAGTGTCTTCTGCTGCATTGGCAGGAAGGGAGGGCTTGCAGATTCCATCTGTCTGCAGCAGTGACAGATGAAGCTCAAAAAGAACTTAAAAATGTTTTTCTTCTTTCAAGTTTTCAGGTTTACTGTGCTCTCGTTAATGCCTTTTCTTTGTTGTTCCCTGTAGTCCTGCAGTCCTTTCTCTTTGAAGGTGTGCACAGATCCTTAGATCTGATTCATTCATGTGTCTAATGAGAACAAGAAAAAGACAGTTCCAGCTCTCATGTCTGTTTTGTAGAAGTTTTGGAGCTGGAGCACTTCTGTGGGATGTTTGGTTTCTGTAGGGCACTTTAGAGCCAGAAATACGAGCAGCACAAGCTGTAAAGCAATCCTAGTCACAAGCCCTTGCCCGTTCTTGCTACACAAAATACAGCACCTTGGCTTGTCTGTGTGCAGGAGATCAGGAGAGGATACAAACAGGTTGTAACCACCATGGGTTTAGAGGAACCATTTCTAGGAAACTGGAAGGTGATGTTTTGTCTGTTTCCTTGTACATCCCTGCCTGGCAGAGCAACTTCTTCGTGCATCCAGACTTCGACAAAACAGCAGCAAATATAAATCTGCCGGGGACAAGGACTTCAGTGAGGAAATAGATTCCCATAATTGTTTCTGCATTCAAATTACTATTATTCAACTGATAAAAGTGACAATCAGAGGCCCAGGAACAGGGAGAACAATGCTATGGGATAGATTTCTCTACTGGCACAGGAAGATGTTAATTAGCTGAACACGAAGAGGTTTTTGTAGTTGAGGGAGGTGCTGGATGAGCTGGGTAGGATGAAGCCTGGGAAGAGCCAGGGGTTGCTGCTCTGGGCAAATAGATCTCCTTCGTGCTGGAGATGCTCTGGAGTGGTCTAGGTGGGAACTGATTGAGTCCACATTTTCTTTCTGTGTCTGAGAATAGCTGGAGGATGTTGCCTGGGAGGTGCCCTTGGCTCAGGGATTTTAAATGGGAGGGTTTCTCTCAGCTTGAGAACGCATTTTTTCCGCTTGACTCACTGAGTGAAATCCGAATGAGTGATAAAATTTCTAAAAGTAATGTTGAATTGGTTGGAATAATAAGTGCATTTATCATCAGGAAGGAAGAGCAAAATAAGGGGAAAGATTCAATGAAGAGGAAGTCGCCACCTTCCCAGTAACAATGGGAGGCTGTAGGCACCTTGTACACCTCAGCCTGCCCAGCTGTGCAGCCACACAGCAAGATGCCATCACAGAGGATTCTTCTGAAACCCCTCTCAGGCTCCTGTCCCACACACAGGACCCACACACATTCCGTGGGATGCTTCCCATTGAAATGACTGCACCAGGAACATGTTTGCAGAGGTTCCCTCACCGTACAGAGCATGAGCCTGTGTGTGCATGAAATGAGACAGCCCACTGACTCCTGCAGAACCCATTTTTTTTCCAAGAACAACATCAGCCTTTGTTGCTTTGCTTCTCTTTTGCTTGGCACATAGAACAAGGAAGGAGCAAAAAATGCTGGTGCTGAAGAGGAGCCTGTTGTGATCCATGTGTGCTGTAGATAAAGCAATGTATCTGTAGGGGCAGGCAGGAGCTACTGGCTTAGATGGATTTTTAGGATAATAAGAATAATAATACTCTTTCAATGATCTTATATTTCTGTAGTGTATTTCATTTGTGCATTCCTGAACAGTTTTCCAGGCTCCAAGTGTTGTATCAGTTTCTGTATGCTTGCAGTTTGGAGAAGCGCTGGGCACAGATGGCTGTGCTGGGTGTGCTCCCTGTGCAGAACAGGACAGCTGCTTCCCTCTCAAGGTAAAACAGGGAACAGAAAGGGGAACATTTTAACTGCAATTACACATCTACAAAAGAAAGATGCAAAATTGAGGATATTTATCTCAAAAGAAGCTGAAGATACTAAAGTCAGGATGTGTTTGGATTGGGGGTTAAGGAAAAAAGACATTTTTCTTCTCAAGACCCTGGCATGTTCATTTGTCAGGTTCATCCAGGGTTTTCCTGCAGAGGTTTTAATGGCTGAAGGCTGATTCAAAATATTGACAGAGTAACCAACAATAAGTTAACAATATTTATTCCATGTCCCTATATGCAATTCTTTCCAGGGGGCAGTTCAGATTTTTCACACTTGCAGTAGTCTCTGTTTTCACATAGACTTATCCCTAAAATGTGCCTATCACAGGTGAGTTAAAAATACTGTCCTTGTCAGTTGAGACGATAGAAGGCAGCTGATGCTGTGTTTGCTGAATTCAAGCCATTGTGATGGCTGGAAATCTCAAATAAACAGGACAAAATGGAAAAAAACATCTTGTAAGTGTGTGGAGCTCCTGCTCTTCGTTTTGGCCATGCTCTCCTCCAAGTTCCATCCGAGCAGCTCTGCTGCTGAGGGTCTTGTAGCTCCTTTTGTGATGGGATGGCAGATGGCTTATGCAGGAGGAGGGAAATTTCAGTGGTTGGGAGGTGAGAGGCTTTGCTTATGGTGAAGTCTCCTCTTTTCATTTGCTCAATATTTGTTACAAATTCACTTTCCCTGAATTTCCAACATGTGAAACTTGTGTATTTTACTCTGTCATTTCTTTTATCAGCTGCTCAGTTGGTGATAATTACATTGTATTTTTCATGCTGGGTCCTTTCATTTTTCTCTAGTCTGTTATTATGTGATGTGGCCTTGGCAAGAAACACATTCCCATTCTTCCAAACAAAAAAAAAATAATAATATGAAAAAACAAGCCCATCAAAAAAACCCAAAAAAATCAAACAAAAAACCCACCAAAAATCTGCATACAGTTCAGATCCTGCTAATTAAGAAAACTATGAACTTCTAGGTGGAAAAGATAATTACCACATTTGAACCTGCTGCAAGCAATAATGATTTCCATGGAATGCAGGTAGTGCCACTGTCCCAAGGTTCTAGGCAGTGTTGGATTCACCTCATCCAGGGAGCTGCTGCAGTAGCGTTTCTTTGTGCCTTCTTTAACAAAAAATAATTGGAGTTTTGGAGGCTTATCAGAATCAAAAGGTTTCTTCAATTTATCCAGAGTGCAACTTTTCCTCTCAAACATCCATTTCCCTGGAGCTGGACTAGATGACCTTCAGAAGCCCCTTCATCACTAATGATTCTGTGATTCCTTAACTCTCCCCAGGATAAGTCTGAAAATGCACTCAGAACCAACTGCTGATGGTGTTCAGTCTTTCTTGCTTTGTTCTTCCAAAGAGTTCTTTCAGCCCAATCATGACTATCTTAAATATAAACATTAGCATATCTATATTTTAAGCAGAAATACTTCACAGGCAAATAGGCAGGGCTTTAAAGAGACTTCAGAATATTTCCAAAAATACCTGCCTTGCTTTGTTTTTCAGCCTTGTCTTGTGTATCATTCTCTCTATGAGTTAACCTACTTTTTTTGCTAAGCTTTTATTTTTGTTCTGTTGCTTTCCATTTCTGGTGATACAAATTCTGTGTATTCTCTTGGGGAAAACTGCAGGTTACACTTTAACTTCGCTGTGGTGGCAGCGCTTTGTGATTTACATTACAGTGGCATTCCAAAGATACTTCACAAAATTCAGACTTTTCCTACTGAAGGAGTATGGTAGGCCATGTGCAAACATAACTAGGATTGTTTATTTTTCCATTACTAGATAAGAAGGTGCGAGGACAAATAAAATACAAAATGAAAAGAATCCCTGTTCCAGATTCTTTAGATTCCTGCCTCCCCGCCCAGATTTTTTGAGATCACTGCAGGCTGATGAGATGCGTGTTAGTTATCTGCTGCATTGCTCTACCCAATATTTAACAATTACTGATTAGCTCTGTTTCTCTTTTACTGTCTTTACTGTGCTGTATTGCTGTTCTTGTGAGCATCTTTACCAGGTTAAAAAAACTTCAAATTTTTCACAGTGATTTCTTGAATTAGTAATTAGGAATAAAAGTGCCACTTGATAACAAGTAGTGACGCCTTCTTTTCTCCTATCAGTGCAGCTGTAAGCCAGTCAGAGGGATTGAATCTGTTCAAAACCTGTTTTCAGGGAAAGCACTGCTGAAAATGGAACTAAGAAAGACAACTTTCTCTTCTTGGTACTGACTTTCTCTTTCAGGTTTTTCTCTGAAAGTACAGTTCAGGTACCTCACAATCTAAACATGTATTGTTCCATGCAGGAGGAGAAGTGCATTAGCAGTTCTGACTTACAGACATTTCAGACTTGTTGAGCTCTATCTCTGCTGTCCCCTCCTGTAATAGTTTCAGATAAATGCTGGCAGTCAAATCAGGATATTTGATTTGCAGCGTAGAATTGTTTGCTTTCAAAATCCATATCGAGTTTACCAAGGAGGATACACACACCAACCAATTTAAAGATGCCATACTATGAGAAATAAACAAGTGTTACTATGTAATGCCCATTGGAACAGTTTGGGGGGTATTTTATTACATCAGTGTTGTGGTTTCAGTGTATTTAAGTTTAGGGGTTTAAGTGAGTATTTACAAGTATTAAATGGATCAAAATTAATGAATTTACCTCGTTAATGTAAAAGATATTTCTTCTGCAGCTAAAGAAAGATGACATCAAGCTCATTGAAGGAAATAGTCCTTGCTATGACTATGACTCTTGTTTTAGTGATTTTCAAGAGTTCAGCTGATAATATCCATTAAGCTTGATGTTGGTGATGGATACAAAAATTAACCTTGAATATCTGAGTGGTAGTGACATACTTGAGTCTTGCATCAGTCAGTATTCAGTTAATTACCTAAGTATCAGTGCAAAGAGAGCAGGCTTCAGCTGGCTGTAATTAGGGCTGGATTGTTCCATGCCTTCAAGACAATTTTTACATTCATGGGATCTGCAGCTTTCTGTTGTCCTCATTTCCTGCAACATAAAAGCACTTGTGTGTCAAAGAATGAAAGGGGGCAGAGAAAGAGAGAGACTGTGAGGATAAATCTCATTAACATCCCTGACAGTCTGGCTGAGAAATAGGCATTGCAAGATCTAAATGAATCTTAAAAAAAAAAAAAAAGGGAAAACAACCCCTAGGAGCCAGAGACAGAAAATGTTATTTCAGTTGACTGAAAAACAAGGTGGATCTCTAGAAAGCACAGTGGGTTCTATAAAAGCTGAAATCTGCTCTGTAAATTTTGGTCTTAATGAGAGACCACCAGCCTGTGCAGGAAGAAAGCTGGATGGCAAATCAGGAGTGTGTGTGCCACTGCAAGTGCCATAGATCACAGCCCATTGGGGAATTGAGGCTCTGGGTTTTGCCCTTGTGCTGCTGATTTACCAGCACTGCAGTGCTGGCACTGACTCCCAGGGATGTCCTGGCTTGGGGAGACACTCCTCAGCTTGCTTCAGCCCTCAGGCCGTCATGGCCTGTGCAGCCTCTTGTTACCAGCCTCTATTTCAACTCCTGAGCAACACTGGCAAGATTTCTAATTATTCCTCTGTTTGGGGAAGAAACAGTCTTTTGTGTAGTTCACGTGTAAAATTGCACATTTTCAGTGGGATCCAGTGTGGAAGGTCTGCGCCAGCAACTGGGAGTGGTGGAAAAGGGCAGTCAGTGTGAGCCCAGGAACTTCAGAACAGGCTTTATTCAGGCCAAGGTGCTGCACAAAACCTGCTGAAACCTCCCCTGACAGTTCCTGGCGAGCAGAGGGAGACAGAGGTGCAACAGCCTCCCTGCTCTTCATGGCCTTGCAGCCCTGTTCCACTGACTGACTGTTGCTGCTCACTGCTGATGTTCAGCTCCCTGAGATGAATCAATCCTTCCTCTTCACCCACAGGTGGATTTGCTGCAATTTGAAAGCTGGGGCTGTCCAGAGGTGTCAGGAGAAGTAGTAAGGGTACATGAAGGTGAGCGTGGCCATCTAATTTTAGCTTACAGATGTCTTATAAGCATAAGGGTCTAAAGGAAGCTAACAAAACCAGTAGCTGATAGGGAAAGGTGTACAAGTTAAATTCCTTCTTTATCTAATTATAAATGTATAATTAAATATTATCATAAGCAGTAATAGTTGCATGTGTATTTCTGTTCAGATGGGCTCTATTCAGAGAGGCATCCCCAGCAGTGGCTGTGCAGATACCTGAGCTGCATTTAGCAAATGCTTTTGCCCCATGGTCATAGAACTGCGAGTACTGAGCTGTGTCTGAGCCATCATCCTGCTCTGGCACTGGGTGAGCACAGACAATCTTCACAGTCAGAGCACTTCAGTGGGGCAAGGCTGAAGTGTGGAATATACACCAGAAAATCATTTTATTTTGTGTGCTGAAATAAACTTTGTAAATTTTCTTTTGTGCACTTGATTATTAATAGAGAATTAATGTTTTGCTACTTGGACAAGAATGGTGTACTTACTGACCTGTTTCTGTGAAAGTTTATATTCTTGGATTATAGAATTTAGAATCACAGATTCTTTTTATTGACTGAAACAAAGTCTCTCAATCCTCAGTATCTCGTGAATTTCCTTGAAACTTTCCTATGACAGCTATGCAAAACTAGCTGGACAGATAAGAAAGTGATACCCATTGTGTATCTACAGAACTGCTTCAGCTCTGGCCATACAGCAGAGTCACTTAGCCATGGTTTGATGTTGGTTATTCAGCCTAGTGATGAACTGTAAGCAAGGGCAATTGGTGAACTGCTCTCCCTCATTACAGAATCAGAGACTTGTTAAGGTTGAAAAAGACCCTTGTGATCATTGTGTCCAACCACTGACCCATGTCCCCAAGTGCCACAGCCACATGGCTTTTCAATCCCCCTAGGGGTGGTGACTCTACCTCTGCCAGGGTTGGACAACCCTTTCAGGGAAGAAATTTTCCCTAATATCCAACCTAAACTTCCCCTGCACTCCATGTCTTTCTTGTTGTGAGGGGCCCAAACCTGACCCCAGGATTTGAGGTGTGGCCACAGCAGTGCCCAGCACAGACAGATGGTCACTGTTCCTGCTGGTGCAGCCCAGGTGCCATCGGCCTTCTGGCCCCCCTGGGCACACCTGGGCTTGCGTTCAGCTGCTGCCCAGGTCCTTTTCTGCTTTCCAGTCCCTCTGCCCGAGCCTGTAGCGCTGCAGGGAGTTGTGAGCCAAGGGCAGGACTCAGCTCTTCACCCTGTTGAACCTCATACAGTTGCCCTTGGCACACGGATCTGGCCTGTCCTGGTCCCTTTGCAGAGCCTTCCTGCCCTCCAGCAGATCAACGCTCCCACCCCATTAGTGTTGTCTCCAACCTGGCTGAGGGTGCCCTCGATCCCCACAGGCCAACCCTTCTCCTTCCCTTTGCCTGGGTTAGCACTAAATAGCCAAAGGAAGGGGAGGCACAGGGGAAGTGCCTAAAGTCCTTTCCTCCCCACAGAAGTTCCCTTTCCTCAGGTTTGATTTCCAGCAGGGGACTTTGCTGCAGGGCCCTGTAAGCAGCAGTGTCGGCAGTGCAGCTGTGCCATGGCTCCAAGGTTAAACAAACAAGCAGTGGGACTGTGAGAGGTTGAACTGTGTTTGCAGGACACACAGCCACAGACTCCATTTCACATGTCTATATTTCAATGGTTCCAGAAAATCTAAAGTATGTTTTCCAGGAAATTAAGAGAATTCAATTATAATGACAAAATGTTAAAGGTACAACTCACAACAAAATCCAGGAGCTCTTCATAAGCTCCTCCACTCTATTTTGTGGTTCATGAGGTGATTCATCCCAGGGACCCTGCATTCCCAACTGCCTCACCTCATCCAGAAATTTAAGCTCGTGTCTATGTTGCAGCTTCAGCATAAGGGATAATGGTTCCTAATTGTTGAGTAGCACATTGAGTGCAGTAAGTGCTGACCTCTCTCTGCAGCACTGTGCCACAGAAGGAATGGCTTTCATGTTGAAACCCGATTGGAGTAGCTGTAATGCTTCATGCATCATTTTAATGGCACTCTCAAAAAGCCTGGTATCTTGGTATGTCATTATCTCAGACTCTGAAGTTGTTGTTTCTTATTTAAATGTCCTATCTCACTTGAGATTTAATATAATTAGAACCAGCCTGTGGAAAAATCTTTTTCTATTATGTCTTGGCTATTGTTCCAGTCAAGATGGTAAAGCAAATCAAACAGGATATAATGAAAATGATAAAACCATTTGCAAGAGGCAGTTTTCCTGAGGGAAGCAAAAGGCAGCACCACTTTTCATTTTGCTTTGCAATTCTAAACATGGCATGGGCCTGGGGTGACTCCATGGAGACTTGTCCAATACACCTGAGAGCAGAGACAGGTACAGCTGGCAGGAATCTGCCTTGCCTGATCCACCAGGGAACCAGAAGCAGCACAGCAATAAGCTTCTTGCACTGTTGTTGCAGCCTGTTCAGCCAGCACTGGCTCTGCTTGCCAGCCAAGGTGTATGTTAAGGAGCTGGGCCTGCAGTAATAAACATCTTCGACTGTTATTTTTTCCTTGAGCTTACAGCATCCTGGATTGGGAAGGACATCCAGAGTGTGGTGTCTGCAAAGGCACTGGTACCCCCAGGCTCAGTGTAACATGTGTCTCCAGCAAGAACTGCTGTTCCTGGTGTGGAAGAACAGGGAAAAGTGTCCAAGGCTTTCTTGGTCTGGCTTGGAGGCCACATCACAGCAAGGCAGGAGCCCTCACTGCTGTCTCTGCTGGATGATTTCTGAGCAGTTCAGGTGTTATTGCTCCACATCTCTTTGCTTTTCTATTAGGCTTGTAATTTGATGTCAAAGCTGTTCTGCAATATCTTTTCTCTTTTGTGCACAAGCCGCTTTTGAACAGGCTTTTGTATTATCAGCATGTATTACAGGAATCTATATTAATTCTCAGCAGTATTGATAAACTTTAGGTCTGAGAGGCTTGATCAAGGGCTGCGTGCCATGGTCAGAGCTTGCATGAGATGCTGCCAGGGCTCTCAGTCTTTGCTATTTTAGTTGCCAGCAGCTGTGAGAGGATGGATGGAGTGGCAGTGGCACAAAGCCTCTCCAGCCCTGTTTGGCTGCTGCTCTGGTGTTGGGTTTACCTGGGACAATGAGCTTTGGAGTGCAGCTGAATCTGTCTTCACACAAATGTCAGAAGCGACAGATGAGGCTTGATTTTTTAAAAAACAATAATGTAAAAATTCAAAGGATCAAAATGCAAGTAATTCAAATGATCAAAGAAATCATTAGGTTAATACCTGCAAACTATTGTGTAACTTCAGATGTAAAGAAAAAAGAAAATCTACCTGAAAAAATGCTTTTTTTATAGGTTTCTGGGTTTATTAAACCCAGTGCTGACTAATTTGTAGATCACCTGTGCACAAGTTTGCCTCTTCTGTTACCTTGATCTCTTTGGAATTGAAGAAACAGTATTTCTTCCTCTCCTCTTCTCCCTGTTCCTTTCTTGTAAAGAAATGATTAAATACTCAGAGTACAAATGCTGCACATGAATATTTATAAGAACTTTTATAACATTTAGTGAGGCAATGCTTCATGGCTGTCTCTTTCTGAATGCACATAAGAAAGTACCATAATTTCTTTGAAGCTGCACTGAGTCCTTACTTGCTACTGGGTTGGCAGGAGCTGGAGGCTCCTCGAGGCTGCAGTCATTGATGATGACAAAACACAGAGATCATTGGGGTGTTTCCTACTTTTCTGTTACAGCACTTGGCTTGTGTTTAATATCTCATAAGAACACATTTTTCATGCATCATTTACATTTAAGTTGCAGAAAATTGCTAGGTGGAAATCTTGTTACTCGTATTGGATAAATACCTGATTCCTGCATTGATACTTTGGTGTCAGAAGAAACAGAGTTAAATGTCTTGTGCTTGGAATACCGGCACTGTGGGACAATTGAGTGGCCCTGGAGCACACTCTGCAAAGCACTTGGAGGGTCCTCCTGTTAATGCAGAAGTGTTTTAGCCTCCACTTCTCTGCATATTGTCTCTCTGGAGCAGGGCATCCTGTGCATACCTAATTGCCTATGTAATGCCTCAGAGTGTTGTCACACACCCACTTCTAAAAAGCAAATGGAAACTAGTAGCTCTTAATAGCAGATTTATCCCCTTGACATCCTGAAAGAATTTAGATCAGATTAAGCACAAGAGGGAAAAGAAGAAAGGCTTTAGGAATAAGCAAAAGGGAGAGGGGGTTAGAATTGTGAATTGTTAAAGCTGAAGATAATTTTAGAACCGAGTCCTTGCTCATAATCCTACTATAACCTCTCCCCTTCTCCTTATAAAATAATTGCAAAAAATTGCATGTTCTCATGTCCACAAGGTTACTACATGAAGACTTGCAGTGTTTTTTAAAAGCTGGAGTGCATTACGTGGATTGGAAGTTACCTGTTGGAACTTGGCACACCACGTGTGGGTCTGTGTGATGTGGGGGTGCTGTGGGGGAGCTGGGGTTGTTTAGCCTGGAAAAAAGGAGACTCAGAGGTGACCTTATCACTCTCTACAACTCCCTGAAAGGTGGTTGTAGTCAGGTGGGGGTTGGTCTCTCTCACCAGACAGCAGCCAACAGAACGAGAGGACATAGTCTCAAGCTGGGCCAAGGGAAATATAGGTTGGATATTAGGAATACTTTTTTACAGAAAGGGTACTGAAGTACTGGATTTGTCTGCCCGGGGAGGTGGTGGAGTCACCAACCCTGGCTGTGTTTAACAAAAGGTTGGAAGTGGCACTTGGTGCCTTGGTCTAGCTGAGGTGTCAGGGCTGGGTTGGACTCGATGATGTTGAAGGTCTCTTCCAACCTGGTGATTCTGTGAAATGCCCCCAGTGCTGGGGCTGGTCCAGCAGACCTATTTGAGGGCACAGTGGGAATCATCCCCAAAGCCAGGGCTGAGGGAAGAGCCCTGGGATCTCCCATGGATCTGCTCCAGCAGGCTCTGGCTGGGTGTTACACATCCTCCCCAGTAGGTTCTGACAGGCTGCTCTCTGTGGCATGGGCTTCAAATGATCCCGAGTTTAACATCTTTCACTGGACAAGCTGGCTAAGTTAATTCTTCCTGGAATTCATTAATAGTATAATATTTCTCTTTTGTAATCATATTTTCACAGTTTTAAGTCCCCTTTTATCTGCTCACACTTACTTTCTGCCTGTGATGTGTATGTTTTTTGTAGATCTCAATCTGAAGATCTCAGAATATCCCAATTGATCTGATACTTGTGATTTCTTCCCTTTTGTGTGTGTGTGTTTCAAATATGTCTCATTTGTAGTTCTCTGCTACAGCAGTATGCAAACTATAGAGGGGTGTTTTTAAAGAAGGCATAATTTATGTGACTTTAACCCCTGAACTACTGTGCTTAATTTTCAGATAGTGATTTTGATCTCTTTCCCAGATATTTTGGGCACAGTAGTTATTAGAATTATTTTCATAATTAGCAAAGGACAATTGAAGGAAACTATCAACAAACAGTTTAACTTACATTTCAATTAAAGCTGTACACTTATGGCATTACATTTATCATCAGATATTACAATAATAATATTGAAAGACAATAATGCTCTCAGTTGTGCTTTACTTGTGCAAAACTTTTGAACCTGATGCTTGACCTCTGATCATGTCAGAGTCAGAACTTGGTTACCTCTGTAAGAAAAGTATGTACTCACCTGAGAACTCTTGGAGTATGTTTAGCAGCAGGAAAAATGCAGGATCTTGGGAAAATGCTCCCATGTTTGCATCTACAAGGAAACAAAGGTATTGTCCACATTGGTGTGGAGCAGTTCATCATATCCACCCAAACAACCTGTAGTCCTTGGATAACAATATCTACAAGAGTTTTCAAATCACATTTTTCATAGGGAAGATTGAAATTGGACTTCCAAAAAAAATTAGTATGACAGCTCTTCCTAATTTATTTCATTGCACTAATTTTTTAGTAAAAATGAAGTGTACACCAGGCAATGCATAGGCATAGTAAGTGGTAAAATTCCAGGGAGCTCTAGAGACTTTCATTTGTCTCTGGTTCCTGACATATTAATGGTTTGTGGAGATTTGAGGCAGAATTTATTTTATTGCTTCTACAGAGCTTTAAACTGGGATCTTCCATCACGCCCTATGAGACAAACCCCTTGACTCAAGTAGGGAACTTGCTGCTAGAGCTTGGTGTCTTTGTTACTGCAAACTAGTGACTGCAGCCACCCCATTGCTGCCATGGGGGCAGAGGTGAGGATCTGCCTGTTCCTCCTTTAGCTCAGGCATTAATGATGCTGCTGCCTCACTTCAGCAGGCAGCCATCTCATTATGTCTCTGAAGTCTCCTCTGCCCTTTTCCTTTCCCGTTCTTCTTTCTTCAAGTTCAGCAAGTAATTAAAAGAGTACAGTGGCTGAGGAGTGAAAACGGAATTTTTCCAAATGCTGTTCCTTGTAAAATGTAATACATCGCCCACACATCCCAGGGCAGTGATTGAAGAGCTCATCACATTTGTCTTACTTGAGATTTAAGCAAAATCATCTGCTGAGCATTTCTGTCTATCCGTGTGCATTACAATCCATCCAGGCTCCCTGAAAAGAAAATGGGAAAATAAGACATGGTTAATGTACCGGTCTTTATGTGGAGAGAACAGATTTAACATAGGACATTAGAGATAGAGGCTCCAGTCTATCTCCTGACTACACAAAGCTAATTAGCATTATGAGCCCATCCTTTTGTTAAGCTTGTTGGATTATCTCAGCCTTGGAAGAGGTCTGGGCTGGAGCAGCAGTGCAGGGAGTTGGGGCTGCCTGGCATGTGGCACTGGCTGGGGCTGGAGTGTGGCTGCTCGGGCACCTGGCAGGGGAGGGCAGGGCAGGGGCTCCTCTTGGAACCCACCCAAACCTTGCTTTGGCACAGTCACAGGTGAACAGAAGTTGTGCAGAGCTGTTCCTTACAACCACTGTCTCTCCACTTTTCCCTTTACTCTGCCTATTCCTGCACTACCACATGGAAATAAAGAAATTACTTCGCTCTCTAAAGAAAGACAGGAGAAACAAGTATTTCTATGTAGCAAAAATTTTTGTATTGACATGTATTTCGAAGATCTGCACAGCACAGGGCAGATCTGCTTCAGTTTCCCAGCTCTGCTGCATAAAGCAACCAAGAGGCCAATCCTACACCTGTATCCAGGCAGCTGATAAATCTCCTATTATTAACTTCACTATTTTTTACATACAGCTATCTGGCATCCAAACAAGTCTTCTGCCTTTATTGAGTTTGACATACTGCAGTTTCTCTCAAAATCAAGGCTTTGGGATCCCTGTTCACATACTAGGTTTCAATAAAGGACTTTATAAAACAGCTAACTTTAAAAGCTGAGTGATTGTCAGATGAGAAATTATTTGCACTTGAAACAGTTATAGAAGGTGAAGTTAGTAGTGACTCATTTTCTAGTTATGCCAAAAAATATTTCTGCAAATCACTGAAATCCAAAAAAATTAGCATTTAATCTTTATTCAGATTACTGAGACTGGCTTTTCTGTCTAATAGACAGAATTTTTCTTCTGGATACTATTGCAAAGAAAAGGCTTTCTTTTTAAAATAGCTTTAAAATAAAACACAACTTCATTGTATTTGAAAAACCATTATTTCCTGTCTTCCTTGTGCCTCTGTATATTGTCTTTGCAGATGCTGGATTTTAGTGAGGTATAAATAGATAACTTGGTTAACAAGTATTCAAACGGCTAAATTAATTTTTAAATCTAGTATGTTTTAGTTTAATTTTTAATGATGAAAAGGCAGTGGATGTTCTGTGGGTTAGGCCTGGCTATAGGTGACAGGTCTGAAACTGGTTGTAGGTAGAAAGCTGTTACTGAGCAGAATGATCTGTATTAATCTTTGTCCTAAAATTAGTCAGGGTTTTCTTTATGAGCAGTCTGAAAGAAAATGTGAATAGGGAGAGCTGGAGATTTGAAAGCAGAGATATGCACTAGCTATACTGGAAAAAAAAGATGGAGGAAATACATTTTTTTATTTATTATGTACAGCTGCAAACTGGGAGTAAAAGACTTTAGGCCAAACTTGTCTAATTGCACTGAGAGAAGTGAAGCTGCTCAAAAGCTTGTAGAAGGCATGAGCACATCATTGAGTTGTGGCTAACAGTCTGCACTGCAAAGGTCAGTGTCTGGACTCCAGGTGTGGAGGGATCTGTTTCAGGAGTGGAAGGGTTTGTTCTGTTGTGTTTGTCCCTGGTGTGAGGCTCCAGAAACACTGCATTGTCTTTGGAGAGCAACAGCCCAAGGGTGCTGCTATCAATTCACAAATGGTGGTTAAAGGCTCAGGCAACTTCGTTTCCAGAAAAGGAAGGCTAGAGAGCTCTGTTTATTCATATTTTTATTTGAAAATAGCAAAGTAGGAGCAGAAGTGCTTCTGAAGTACAGGGGCAAAACTGATGAGTAAGACAGCGTTGATGGCTGTCATGGTTACCATGGCAACCCCTTGGCCACCGGTTGGGATCCCATCCCTGTTTATGTAACCATCACAGAACATATGCCACCATGACTTATTAAGCCAAGGTTGAGCCCAGAACCTTGAAATCTGCCATACCTCTTTTTTTTCCTGTATAAATTACAAGGTTGAGCACTACAGAGAGCGTGGAGTCTCCTCTGTGACCATCCTGGGGAGACCTGGAGCTTTCCCTCCATGTGCACAGCAGTGCCGAAGCAGCAGCAAGGAAGCCAGGAGTGCAAGGGAGAGAGATTTAAGCAATTTGAGCAATTTTCTCATGCACAGGAATATGGTGGTGTCTCCTGACCGGTCCCCAGAGTCTGATCCCAGGAGCTCAGCAGAGAGCAGTGGGCAGAGTTTTGCTGCTGCCGTGCAGCTTGATGCTGCTGCTGTGGCTGGTGTCTCAGACTGGTTCTTGTTATAAACAATTTACTTCCAAATGCCACAGCATTGCACATGGCAGGAATAAACCTCCCTCAAGACCCTCCAAGAGAGCAGGTAATAGCAGCCTTTCTCATTTCACTCAGCATGGCAGTGACAAAAGGTAATTGCCCCGGGCTTGGTGTGGTTTCTGGTGTGGGCTTGTAGCAGCCCCGTTTGCTAATAAAGTATTCTGTCATAAAAACCTCGTTTGAAAGGCAAGGAATTCAGATGAGTGTGGTTCTCCTTTTACCTTCAGACCCCTGTGGACTGATATTGAGTCATCTCAGCAGTACAAGAGTAGAAAATTCACACTGTTTTTTCTGGCTACAAAAGGCTTTGCATTCTCAGGATTCTGTCAAGCACAAGTAGCAAAATTTATGTTTGGCAATCAGCTCCTTTAGGAAAACATTTCTATCTGTAAAGAAGAACTAAAGAAAGAGAATTGAATGTTGGTGGTGATTTTCTTTCTCTTTCCTTTGCTAGAGCTCGTTTGCTGTGCTTCAGCTTTGTTGTTTCCTGCTGTGTCCTGATCCAGGAGTGAGCGCTGGCTGGGCTGCAAGCTCAGCATTCCCAGGTATGATCAGCAGCTCTTCATTAGCAGTGGGTGTGGGCCAGCCTGGCTGGGCAGGGGTGGCAGGAGCAGCTGCAGGGGTGGGCCAGCCTGGGCTCCAGCCCTGGGGCTCTGTGATAAGCCACCTCTGGTTTTTAGGTGGCCGGATGCAGCTGGCTGCTCCTGCTGCCCCGGAGCAGATGGGCAATGAGGGCAGGCTTTTCCTGCCTGGATAAGCCTGCTCAGGAGCAGCAAGCGATTCCTGCTTCCCTTTGCTCCTCTTATGGCACTGGCTAAAAATTGTAGTGGTTTACACACTTGATAGGTTTAAACATCTGTCTGTGAAAATGCAGGGTATTTCTTCTCTCATGGAGTAAATTGAGCAAATTCCCCAGCTGCAAAAACCAGTCATTGACTGTAAAGATAAAAACCAGCACAGGGTTTCTGTTGCATTTCCTTTCTGATTCCATCCTTGATTATATTTAATGACGCCTTCATTGCATAGTTTTCCATGTGTGGATTATTTTAAAGTATGCAATCAGATTTTTGGGAAGTAAAATAAAATTACTGGGGTTTTGTTGGGTTTTTTTTTCCTGCCCTACATCTTGTCCTTTTGGTAGCCTAAAAAGCTGATTACTGACTGTGAGGTGCCCTGGGTTTGGCTGTTAGTCCTTTTGTGTCCCTGTGAAGGGAAAGGGCTGCACACAGAGCCCCCATGATGTGCCTGGGTGTTGTGGACTGGCAGGCACAACCCTTAATCATCAGAATAAGGAAAAAATCAATTCTTACTATATATGCTGAAAGCATCCAATGCCAGTACCTTCTAATTCCATTTCTGAATTTAAGCTATGCTGGTGATTTCTATCCCTAATAACATTCTTATCAGTGGTGGATTGCCATTTTATGGGGATGGATTTTAGGCAAAGCATAAGGAGAATAAGCAAAGAAATTATCTGTTGTAAACTTCAACACTAGTAAACATTAATATCTTTAACCTTTTGACTTGGAGCTCATCACTCATTTCATTGCCCTGGCTTACGACTGCAGATTAAAATTTTTTGCATTCATCTTGCCCGGTGCAGTGGCTTATTGGGATGAATAAATGACACCCTAATTAGAAGAGTAGCCTGAGTGAGAGTAAGCTGCTGGAATCAGCTTTGATGGTCAAAAAATTACCTGTAGCTAGTTTCTCAAGATTATCAAAGAGGCCCTCAAATTAGAATGTCTGTCTTTCATCATAGATGTGAGGAATGAGGCAAAATGAATGCACCAAGCAGATGGCAGTGGGAGGAGATGGTTGCTGTGGAATGGGAAACTGGAGGAGTTTTTACAAAGATTCAAGCCCTTTCCAGGCATTGCTCTACCACATAGTGAATGAGATAGCAATATAGGGCTTATTTTATGTGTATTTTCCACCATAAACTAGTAATGTGCGTATCTTCAAAAGTTAAATTGAATAGTTAAATTGATTGATTAAATTATTTTTAGAGAAAAATCTCTCTTCTATCATTCCCCTGTAATCTTACCCTGATTTTTCCATCCTGTAGTGTGACAAGCTTCAAACAATATTGATCTTTACTAGTCTCTTTCCACCTGGCTTCCTTACCTTGCTAATTAGCACTGTCTGACCTGACCTGGGCATCACTGTGGATTTGTCCAGATCCCTGCAGGATCTGATGGTGTGACTCAGTCCCTTGGCTCAGGTAGCTGACAGCCTGAGGTCCCAATATCAAACATGAAGTCACAAAAGGTAGAAATGAAGACCAGGGATGGTCCAGGACTGAGTTACAAGTCTAGGGCAAGAGTGACAAAGTGTGGGAAGAGAAGAGACAGGCCTGGCCTTACCAGTGGGAGATGATGGGATGTGGTGTTCCTGCACCATGGGGTTATTCTGCTGTATCAAACTAAAGCAGCTGGAAGTCAAGAGCAGGATCTGGTGGTAGGAGGAGCAGTCAGGCCCAGCCTCCAGCAGTGCCTGCCCTTCACAGCACAGGAACGATCTGGTAATGAGCGAATCCTCTCCTCCACTGAAATGGTTAATGCTGCTTTGAAGCACTGAAATTGGGAGCTTTGGGTTTAGCCCACCTCATCCAACTGTCAGTGGCTCATCC